TCCTCAATAAGACCACCTTTAAAAGAACAAAGTAGAAAACAGAGGGGGCCCCTCTATGTCCTGCGAAGAAGGGCCACTGCCCAATGGGCCTCATCATCCAGCGTGGCCCAAGAGAGTCAGGAGACACAGGGTTACTATATTTATTTTAACATATCAAATACGACCATTTCTTTCGTTTTAATAAACGTTCAAGATGAATAATGTTAACGCACGCACGAATTTTCTTTTCAAGTGAATTTAGGACCTTTTTAACCAATCTAATATTTTAACATTCATGAATTATGTTTTGTCTCAATTAATTCAGAGCTCTCGGTCGAGTTTTGTAAACAACGGATTTGAGGTGTCCCCACATGAAGAAGAATATATTAAGTTATAATAATAGATAGAATATTAACTTAAATAATAAAAATTTTAATGTTTTAATACCAGTTTTAAAATCAATGAAATAACCCTAAGTGTCCTGGCCTTTGGGGCCACCCTCTATGCTTTTTTTCTTTTCACAACACCGCACGGAGCATAGTGGACAGAACGCGCCCACACACACACGTATCGTGTAAGGCACGCACACACACACGCACACGTGAAGTGTAAGGCACACACCACAGCAAGGCGAATTGCGCGCTTCATGCAACTGCTTTGGAATGGTGCCGAGATTTCCTGCGTCGGAAATATTCTGCCAACTAAAAATGACTCCAGGGGAGGTGGCTGGGCAATTCTGAGGTCTGGAATTGGCATTGCTGAGAATCCCGGGTTCCAATATAGGCAGCCACGTGTGATTAAACCAGGACCTCAAGCGTCGTGGGTTGATGATCTCAGCCCTGTCACAAATTGTTCTTCATAATTCCTTTGGTCTTCACGACCATTGGGCACATCTGCTCCTGCTCTCGCTGCCTGCCTCTCGCATGAATTCACACACTCACACGGGAAAAGAAAACGACTTGAAATGTAGTTTTTGAGAATTTACATTGATGGCCGTTACTCTGCCCTGCGTTGACCAGATGTCCCGTGATGGAATCTCAGACGTAGCTCGGTGATGCTCGCGAATCGCTGCACTGCTGCGAGGGAGTTCCGCACGGATACTTTGTCTCACGGCGCGACACTGATAGCACAAATGGGGGGGGGTGACATTTGGTGAAATCAGCAAAAATAAATAATTCACAAGGACTGTAGGTTGGTTTACTGAAGATTATTATCTTACATACATACAGGCTTTGGTTTTTGTTTCGCCCACATTTATTTTTATTGTACTCTCATGCCACCTAAGATGCTGTATGATTGCACGTAATGAGTTACACACAATTCATGTTATAGTTAGCACCCCCCCTCCCACCCCATGTCAACGATTTTCTTATTTTCTTGCAATTTGGCAATGGCATAATGATGATTGCATGTGATCTGGTTTAGTTGAAGGAGTATTGACTCTTAGCCTTTTTCGTTGAACATTATAAAGGTAACATAATCTGCGGTTCCCCATCCGTCTCTCTCTGTCAGCACTCAGCAGTCGTATATCTTAGCCGATGTGGACGAGACGTGAACCAACGCGTTTGTCAGGCCACAGAGGAGATCCTTCGTTTTTGTCCATAATGGAGGTCTAATTGGGTTAGATCGCATAAATATAAATGTATCGTTAAACCCACCACCACCCGACACAGCCAATTAGTAAGGTTTGTGACGTAAACAGAACGTGCCAATTCGTTGCGAGCACAGCACACCGGTGTGTTGGAGAGTAAACTCACAACATTTACAACACTTACATGTGACTATCATTTGTAATGGAAAATAGAACCGATAATACACTGTAACATGATACAAATGTAATGTTAATAGCTTTAAAAAGTCAAAGAGTCTCCACTTCTTCGCCATCATTGTCAACACGTGCCTGGAATCTTCTCCAGGGGGTCTCCAGAGCCAGGATGGCACATTTCTTGTGGTATTGTTGCAAATTCTCAGAAGTGCTAACATCTTTTTGAAGCACTCTGTATATTACAATGGATAACCATTACGGGTTGGGTTATTCATAGGGCAATCAACACACAGTATGCGTGCCCATTGTGCTTATACATCCTGCAGCTTCTTTGTGTGCACTAAAATCGCAGTTCCTGTTACTGTCCACTCACAGTGAACCATCCCCATCGGCGTTTGGTTGGGCAGCGAAATCAAATGACTTGAACCAAAATGGCGGCCATTTGGGCCTTTCCGATGTGAGGGGGCGCAGGTAAACTTTTAATTTTGGAAGATATAAAAAGTGGAAATACGGCTTCAAACGTAGTCGGGTCAGTGCTGATAACTGGAAACACATTTAACTCCAGAATATATTGCAATCAATATATTTTAAAATGTAACTCAATGAATGCCTTGTGAAAGTTGTGAAAGAGTTAATAGAATTTCATGAAAATTGTTGTTTTTTGCTCTTGTTAGTTTGCACATTCCCTCCACCCTGCGATGTCCTGCAACTGCCACCACTGTCGATCGTCTCGGGTTGTGGTCGGCCTTGTAACAGAGCTGCTTGGCTGCATTGGGCCTTAGCGACTAATATCTAATCTAATTTACATTCATAGAGCGCCTTCACTCCAGGCGCTTAACATAGCATACAAAACGATGACAGAATGGAATCATGTAGTTAGCATGGGGCGTGCTACAAGGTATTGAGGAATGAGTTAACGCGATAGAGGGGTAACTTGGGGGTCACGAAAGGGCAGGGGAGGGATGGGAAGGAGTGTATGGGCGGGCAGAGGAAAGAATGGGCGATAGAGGTGAGCTTTAAGAGAGGAATGAAAGGATGTTGAGGAGGGGAAACTCTGTAATGTCGGAGTATGAAGTGCAATATCGCACTCAAACCGATTCAGATTATTTTTTACCAATTGCAATTTTGGAAAACTTCTGAAAAATCTTACATTTGTTGTCAATTGATCGATGCATACATTTGACATCCACAGTTTTGCGTAGGTGCTCGCTGGATGGTTAGATCACAGGAACGTGAGATGGCTTGGGGAAGCTGTCATCTTTTAGTGGATCGATCATGTCATGATGACCGATGTTAAGATTGAAATACCTCATACTTCAGTTTCATAAATGTGTGTCAGGCTATTCTTGGAGTATGTTTAATTGTTATTGGGGTAACATGTTATGTCCCATCCGGCTTGCAGATGCAACTTAAACCGAGTGTAGAAATACATTAACCCTTAACCTGCATTCAATTACATTTATAAGGCCATAAAAACAATTTGTTCAAAAATACATTAAATGTCACCAAATGCATTCCATTGTACAATGTATATCAATCACATAATGGCATTCAATGTGTACACAATAGCATTGAAAGCAAATGCATTTGAATCAAGGTGAGAGAGGCAATCGCGGCCTAGGTGGCGATGAGATTTGATCTCCCTCGCCTGGTACGCAGGAGGCCGTGGGTTCGAACCCAGACACTGACGATGCCTGTTGGATATTGGAGTCTGCGTGTTCTATCGTTCCGTGGAGGCTGCGTGATGAGTTCTCTGGGTTCCTCCGGTTTTTTTCCCTCCACACTTTAAAACGTGAGTTTAGATTATTTATGCTGCCACTTTAAATTATCGCATATAATGATGATGATAAGCCCCTCTGTTGAGCTATCATGTGTAGCCAGGTCACTTCTGAAGAAGACATACTATCTCAGTGGGCTTTACCTGGGATATAAAACAGTTGAGGTTAATGCCAGTTATTCCAGAGCACCTTGCCCGTTGCTTTCGTCTGCTAGGAGCAAATTCAATGTTTTATTTACATTAATTCATTATCCCACGAAATTATTTTGTGTTTACACACCGCTCCAGGTATCTCATTTGAGGCTGAGTCGACCTAGGGGAGGCCCAGGACCGGTTCCAAATAATCGTTACTGGCGTTGGTGGCCGTGAGCGCGAATCGAACTCGGGTCTCTGCCGGGTTCGTAGCGCAGCGTAGCGCTAACCACTGCACCACCGCTCCCCACACACACGCGCGCGCAGTCAGCGCACGAATGAAAAAGGCAGCTGGCGTTTATAGAAGAGGGTGGAAACTTTGAGAAGCTTTGTTGCCTTTGTGCACGGAAGGGGATGTGCCGAGATGTTTACTTGGGCTGCAGACAGCTGAGCTCAGCCAGTTGTGTGGGTGGGTGGATGAGCAATGCATGCAGGGTGATCCACTCCCGCATACCCTGCTAAAATACCAGGAGGGACATCGATTTTCAGCTCTACGTATATTGCACACGATAAAAACGTATATGAAATTGATTCCTGTGCATATGTGTTTGTAACTGTGTCTGTATGTGCAGTGCAGTGCTACATATATGCATGGTATTTATAGACTGTATTCCAATCAACTTGCTAAGAAAGGAGGGGCATTAGACATCATTAGTGGAGTGTGCATTGTACACGGACCATCCTGTACAGACTGAGGCCGCAGGTTTAAAATCACCGCGAGTGCGTGATGATTATCTGGGAAGCTAAGCAGGTTGTATATTGAGCCTGGATAGTGGCCTCGTCCAGCAGTACATTGGCAAAGCGCTATTTTACGTTACAGAGTGGTCCAGATGACTTGTGACCCCCCCCCCCCCCCAAATGTAATTATCTAAAACGTAACATAACAAAGTAGGATTTATTTAAAACCGAAATTAATATGCAAAACAACAAAAACATCTTACTCGTCACTTAATTGCGGCTCACAAGACACCTGGGCCACCCTGCACCACGCGTTGTGCGCATGGAGCGCGTGATCCTGCCAGGCCGCTACAACCACCACGATGTAAAACAAACACAATAAATAAACACATGTTGGGGATTCTACATGGTGGGGGGGGGGGGGTACATTAGACCCCCTAATGTAACATGTTGTAGGGGCAGGAGGGGAGTGGCGATGCCGATGCTATCCTGGAAGCCGTGGGGTGGGGGTGCCGGGCAGGGAGCGGAATGAGTTCAACTCCCCCTGACGCATTCCGTAGTCACGTGACGCGGCACCACCACCAGCAGCGCCGCCGCCGCATCATCATCATCTCGCTCTCTCATCCCTTCTCCGCACACTCCTCCTCTCTCACCCCCCACTCACCTCCCTCCGTCTCACTCCCCTCTTTCTCTCTCTCCCACTCATTCACTCACTCTTCCCCTCACTCACTCATCCACCAACATCCATCATTGCCACCCCCGGCGCTTGTAAGAAGCAGCGGCAGCAATCCTCGTAGCAGAAATTTCAGTGGCGTCGGCGTTTGAAGCGCTGCGCTCTCTGCATCAAACGGCAGCAGCAGCAGCAGCCGCCGCCGTGCGGGTAGCGTTGACTGTGGCGATGCCGAGGCTGCTACGCTCCTGAGATGTAAACAGCAGCCGCAGCAGCGTCAATGACTCTCATCCCCATGTCGCGCTGCTCTTCTTGTTGAGATCCTGACGACGATGATGATGATGCCGATGCTGTTGTTGATGTAGCAGCAGCAGCGGTAGTAGTCGCAGCCGTGGGTTCTTTACTGCCTTCCTTCGTCGAAGAGGAATGAACAACTCCACGAGACCGCTCCACACGCCACAAAAACAACATTCCTGCTCCTGCTGCTGTAGCTGCTCCTGCTGCTGCAGCTGTAGCAGCAGCAGCACCGGGCTGATCCCCTCGCGAGGTGAGTCTCCGTGTGTCCTTCCACTCAAATCGCTGCGTCTCTGCCTCTGAACCATGGCCGTCACTGCGCTGTCTGGCTTGGTATGTGGGGGGGGGGGGGGCATTGCTGTGGCTTGTTATGTGTTCCGTAATGTAGGGGCCAAGTCAGTCCTTGATTGATCCACTGCTGGATGATGATGGTGGTGGTGGGCACGGTCACTTCACCCCTTTCGCACGCCGTCGTTGTCGTGATGATGGTGGTGCGGGTGATTCACCATATTTGACCACTCTGGTCAGTGCGGGCTGGCGAAGTGTGGCGAGGGGGGGGGCAGGTCCAGGGCCGGTTCGGATATTGCTACTGATGTGCGCCGTGGGCGGGGAATCGAACTCGGGTGGCCCCGGGTTCGTAGGCGCAGTGTGCTGACCGCTGCGCCACCGCTCCACTCGGCTCATGCCAATAGGCATTTTAAATGTCAAACTCGCAACGTGATGATGGTTATAATTATTATCAACAACAACAAAACGTTCAATAACACCGTGGTCTTAAAAGGTTTAATCATATATGTAGTCGGCGACGTTTCGGGCAATGACCCTTAATTGTACATAAATGGAAAGGACGAGAGAGATGGGAGTTGGGGTACGATGGCAATCGCCGGCAGTGTTGACAATGGCGTGGTCTCGCTGTTTTGACATTTGAACCTGATGGCGTTACCCCGGGGTCCCACAGTACCCCGGCTCTCGCATAATGCCCGTGATGCAGTCATTCTGAGTCTGTTGATGGTCGGCGACGCGGCAATCGACTCATCTCGACGAGCTGTGCACGATGATGCACCACCACGGTGCGTGCCGCGAGCGTTCAGGGTTTCGGGGCAATCGTCCTCGCTGCGTTTCGACATCGCGGAGTGGCACCGATTTCGGATCGATTGGTGCCCCAGTCGCGGAGTGAAGTACACACACCCCTGGACAAAAATAGTGTCCCAGAAATAACATGTTTAATTGCCTCGGCCATTTTGTGTTATTTTGTACCCCGGGGTAGCGCCATAAGGATCACTTACCGACAAGGTCTGGCTGTATCAGAGAGGTTCAAATGGAATACATTGTGCGTGACAACAAAAATCCATTTCAACTTCCACATAATTATATAAATATACGCCCTTGCTGGTTTGCACTCCTTTTAAAGAGATATATATACGTGTGGGATGAACGCTCCCCATGAGAATACAGGAATTCCTTCAGACGTGTCAGCTGTGATTTCACTCCATTCCCGTGTTCTACATTAAATATAGACGCCCCGTAGGATCGTGGTGTGTGGCTGGGGCGTGATCCTAATCTCAGCATGCAAGCTTCACAATGTGTTTTCATTTAGACAGGAATTCTGGAAAGGCTGCAACAACGGGGGGGTTGTGGTTGTAGAGGCCGTTTGATCGCCGCATTAAAGCATAGTTCTGCCTATGCTCATTGTTATTAGAAAAAAGATGCTGCAAATTATTTGACCCGATTCCAAACACACGCAGAACCCATGTTAAGCGCCGTGGCAGACGTGCACGTAACGGTATCTGGACATTGTGGTGGCATGATGAGATTACTTGTGAGAGACAGCCGTAATCATTGATCTAGAAAATCTTGCAAAGATGGCCAAAAAGAGGGCACCGCCACAACCCTCCCTGTCGAGGCGTTAACGAGCGGCGTTGCGTGGCGCGCGTGTTGATTGTGCGGCTGTGGCGGCTTTGATGTTGCCGTGCTCCTGGGGAAGCGGAGCGGTGGTGTAGCGGTTAGCGCTACGCAGCGCTACGAACCTGGCCACCCGAGTTCGATTCCCGCTCGCGGCCAACGCCAGTGACGATTAATTATCCGAACCGGTGTTGGGCCTCCCCTAGGCCGACTCGGTATCAAATGAGTACCCGGTGCAGTGTGTGTAAATATCTCCACTGGGGAGACAAAGGCGGCCGGGCGTGGTGTTGGCCACCCATCCCCTCGTGTGCCGTGCCGGTAGCCTCCATAGGTACTCACTGATAGCAATTTCCCCGATAGTCTGTTCCGGCTACACGTGGGATCTTTGTCGTTGATGTTGGCATCCTCCTGGGAGCTCCACAATACCTCGAGGACCCTGAACTCGAGATCGTCGTTTGTTGCTCACGGCCGTGCTCGCAGAATGTCGCTCTCCTAGCAAAGAGCTCAAATGAGCCTGGCACGTACGTGCTAAATAAATGCACGACACATGAACGGTCTTCACGGTGTCGAGGTGACTGACACTGGAACTCCTCCAACGGTTTCGGAGAAGTGGCCACATGTTGATGTACGTATGTTGAACTTCTTTCGCACCGTACAATTAGCCAACCGTGCAAATAACGGAAATGTCCCGCACAGAGGGTGGAATAAATAATGCCAGAACAACAACAACAAAAATATATCTTTTAGAGGCTGCGTAACGTTTGTGATTGGCCCAATCATAGCAATTACCCTCTTGCTAGAAGACGTCTCAACTCGACCCGAAGGTTGGTCGCCGAGGAATGGAACGTGTCAGAGAGGGCGTACACTGTGGAGATGGAGCAGAGGAATCGTCTATAAAGTATCCTGCATTGCGGCACTGTAATAGAATGCGACGGCTTGGTTTAAGGCCTTCATCCAGCTGTTGATTGGTCTTGGCTGATGATGGTGATGACGACGACGACAATGATGCGAGCCATTGTTTTTGTTCCCATTGTTTCCGTGGCAGTCGGAATAAGATGGTCGCCGCACGTTGTGGACTCTGAGAGCGGCTAGTGGTGTGTGGTGGTGTGTGTGGTGTGTGTGGTGTGTGTGGTGTGTGTGTGGTGTGTGTGGTGTGTGGTGTGTGTGGTGTGTGTGGTGTGTGGTGTGTGTGTGGTGTGTGTGGTGTGTGTGGTGTGTGTGGTGTGTGTGGTGGTGTGTGTGGTGGTGTGTGGTGGTGTGTGTGGTGGTGTGTGTGGTGTGTGGTGTGTGTGGTGTGTGTGGTGTGTGGTGTGTGTGGTGTGTGTGGTGTGTGTGTGTGGTGGTGTGTGTGGTGTGTGTGGTGTGTGGTGTGTGTGTGGTGTGTGTGTGGTGGTGTGTGTGGTGTGTGTGGTGGTGTGTGGTGGTGTGTGTGGTGTGTGTGCGTACGTGCCCCGGTCGTACTGCGTGCAGTGCACGCATGTGCACGGAAAAGGCTTATTATGTAACACATTTTCTGCATTTAGCAAGACAGGGTACTGCTGTTGCACGACGGGCAGATTCTTCACGGGACATGATTTTTTTTAGGCCAGCATACACACGGGCACAAGCACAACGCTATTTAAGATGGGCGGTTCAGGGCAACTTACCTCCCGATATCCGCAATACCATGATCGCCAAGCGTTTTAAGAGGATGACTTAAGCCCTTTTTACCAACAGAAAACTCCCCCATGAATTACAGACACCACACTGTAAATATGCAAAGCGCGGCCTACATTACACGGACAATGTACATACTTTCCAGTTGCTTATACACTGATTTAAAATTATAATCAGTTTAGCATAACGGCATATATGCAGCTTACGCAAGTGACGCCAGAGTTTCTGAGCCTTGGCCTTGTCATTGACCTATTTCATGGGAAACTCTCTGCAGTCGTTGTCAAAGGTGGAGGTCGTTCACGACTGCACTGCCACAGCTGAAAGGCTACAACCGGGTGACCCTGTTACGTAGAAATTGACCTGAGATTACATTAATCATCATGAATCACGATCAAGTCCACTGCTGGATCAAGGCCTCCCCAAGCCACCACGATCCTGCCGATGCACCAATCCACCCACAGCACCTGCACGTGGACTGATTTCATCGCTTCGTCTACACTCGGAGATTTGGCTGTCGCCTGATCATGGGTTCACTCTCCAACACAGCCGTGTGCTGTACGAGCAACGAATTGGAATGTTTTGTTTACGTGACAAACCTCACTAATTGGCACACCGGTCGTGTGTTGGAGAATAAACCCCCCACAACATTTACAATTCGCGTAGCGTGATGTTTCGCCGGTAATTACAGCCAGCCTCACCAGGCGGAAATCCTCCTGTTTCAGTCTAAAAAGAACCCTCTTATGGATAATATTATTGGTCGTGAAAGCCGAAGTATTTAATTATCAAGTTGAGCTTTCTAAACTCCAACTTGCTCACATCTATCTTTGTTTGTCAATTCTTGTTATTTTGGTCCATCTTGAAAAGCTGTCCCATGTGAACATATTCTGCTGTTTCCAGTTGTTGTTTTTTTTAATGTAAAATGAGCACAGTACTTACCCATGAGCTTGCACAACTACTCTGTGCATAAACGTATGCCCGACACTAAACGTAACACCGGAGTGAACTTAGTTGTCTAAAACCTAAGCAATAGTGTCCCCCTGCTCGAATTGACATTGGGTTGGCGCTCAACTTTGTTGGTGGATCTGGGTTATAGGTGGACATTCCACATTCCTATGGCTAGGATTGAGACTATATGTAGCATAACCGCAAGTGACTTGGCCACAAAGCGATGCGTTAGCAATCCCAGAGGGACCACGAGCTGACTTCATTCCTGACCAAGGATTAGAACTTTTAACCCACCAAATGTGAGTTGTGCTGTCTAACAACAGCACCTGTGTGGCTAGGAAACCGAATCTTCTCACAGTACATCCATAATCCTAGCCTGGGTCCAAATCCCACGGTTTTTGTACTTTTGGGGGCAGCCAGTTTTTCGAGCTCTCGTAGGCCTCATCATTTATGTCAGCATTTTATCCGCAAATCTTCCTATCTACTGCTGGCAGTGGATTTACAATTTTTGTTGTTATTGCTATCTTCAGACCACTGATACATTTTAATTTGAGTTGAGTTGTAGATTTTCCACAAAAATGTGCATCTACCCTGATAAAGACCTTGCTGGGGTCGCCATCGTGCAGCGTGTCCACATGTCACGTGCTCAGTCGTTGCCGTACGGCTGCTGATGTAGATGTCACGCTCAGGTGGTCAAGTCAGACAACCGCGTCAGGAGCAGCGAAGCGCATCGTCGCTGTGATGTCTCCT